TTTTCTTGGTGGTGGTGGGGGGAGGGGCGGCTGGGGAGTTCTTTCTGAGACAGGGTCTCTCTATGCAGCTCTGGCTGGCCTTGAACTCACTTTATAGTCCAGGGCGGCCTTAAACTCACAACGATCCTCCTGTCTCAGGCTCCTGGGATTACAACCATGCGCTGTCACACTCAATGCTGGCCTTATGGGTGTGACAGCTACACCCACTCTGGGGTGAGTATCCAGCATACAGTATAAGGGTGTGAAAGAGGCTTGCTGCTGCTCTTTCCTTTTGCTGTTGTTGCTTTTGCTGTCATCCTCTTCTACCATGGACTGTTGCCCCCTGCCATGTGCCACTCTACCTTACAGCCAGCTGAGTGTGGACTGAAATTTCCACAAACTGCGATAAATAAACCTTTCCTTCCTTAATTTTAGGTGTCAGATATTTTGTCCCAGCAAGGAGAGAAAAGTAACCAAGATAATCCCCAATGGCCTTTCTACCTCTGTTATAGTTCCAGCTTCTACCAAGCCCTGGATTTAACTTCTTTCAGCCTAGGGGTGGTAGTAGCATGCTGCTGCTGCCAAACTCTGGGTCTCCGAGTTCCTGTGTGTTTCTTCAATGTCTCCATCTTCTGTGCCAACATGCGCTAGAATTAAGGATAAGTATATAGTTGATTTATGCTTCTTCTATTGTTGTACTCTGACATCATGTGTTTTTCTTCTTTTCCCCTGATGTCAGTTTCTAATGTCAAGTAGTGGAATTAGCACTATTTCACTTTTTCCTTGTTATGTACAACAGGAAGGAAGAGTTGGACATACAGAATTCCACAGATCTTTCAGACTTCATTTGCTTAATGGTTAAAGTCTTGGACACTGGCACAAGACAGGCTGGCATTGACTCTCAGTTCCTGTGTCATTCACTAAATTTGTGAACTTTCCTAAGTTTTTTAACCTTTCTAAACCTCAGCTTCCTTTATCACCTGATACAGACCTGATAACTTGCCCACTTCATATGGTTTTGAAGATTGAATAAAATAATGTGCTCAAACTGGCCCAGAACACTATGTTCTGCAAGGGAAGCAATTACTAATTAGAAACTCTCTTTTTTTACAATGTCAGTCTTTGTAATTGGTATTAGTTATGTCAGGAGACTGAAATGTTGTATGTACCGGCATTTGTTATTGTTTCATTCTCAGAAGGTACTAAACAGAGTCATTTATTTGCAGGAGCAGAACACAATACTTGGGTCCAAAGCAAATGTAATGAAACATTCAAATGCTACCATACCTCAGTGCTACTGTATTATTGCTTCTTGGTGTCCACTGGACATTGGCTCCAGGACTTCCCCCCTCTGACCCTTCCCCATACCAAAATCTGAGGATGCTTAAACCTCATATGTGAAATAATAGAATATTTGCATATACCTTATGTACATCTTCCTGTGTACTTTAAATAATCTCTAGGATACATATAATATCTAATACAAGTACCATGTAAATAGTTGTCTTATTTTTCGTTTTGTTTTACTTTTTTATGTATTTGCTACAAGGTCTCACTACGCAGCTCAGACTGGTAGTGATCCTCTTGTTTTCAGCCTCCCCAGTGCTGGGATTACAAGCTTGTGCCTCTATGCCCTGTCTCGGTGGCTGGCTCAGCACACCCTGGGCTGGGGCTGGTGCGGCATGTGGTGCAGGGGATCGAACTCTGGTCCCTGAACTTGCCTAAGCAGGCACTCAGTCCACTGAGCTATCTCACTGGCCCTAGATGTCTTGTTTAGGAGATAAAAATAAGATAAAAATCTGTTCATATTCAGTACAGATACAATCTCTTTTTAAGTATCTTCAGTCTGTGGTTGGTTGAGTTTTTTTTTATGTGGAACCCCAGATCTAGAGGCCTGAATGTACCTTGCCCTTCTTTGGTACTGACCTTACTTTTGGGCCTATTGTTCATCATTGAGCCTATATTTATTCTGGATGAAGATATAGCAAGGTAAAGTGGTGCTGGTTCTTATAAATATTATTCAGTGTGTGGATTCTCCTGTCTTAGCCCTGCACTGGAAAATTAGTTTAAGAGAGCTAGTGGGAATAGTAGGCTTAATGACATCCGTCCTGCTTTATTTTAGCACTCTTTCTTGTCTTCCCCTGTCCTCTTTACTTGCTGAGGGACAGATCAATTCCCAACATCTTCATAAAACTTTCTCTGATTATTTCGAACAAATTGGGTATTAGCAGTGCTATGCATTTAATCTCCAGATATTGAAGCAGAATTTCACAAATAGGACTTCCTCTTGACTCTTTCCAAACACCCTGCCAGGCAGCTCGTGGCACGCTGTTTTTCGCAAGCACTGCATGCACTCTGTCGGCTGGGGCCAAGCCTTTCTTTGGCTTGGGACTGGTTTCATTAACAAGCATGTTCACACTCCAACTGGAACATTTAAAATAACACCCGCACAATGTGTTTAGTGTCTAGTTAATTATTAAGTCTCTGAGCTTGAATTATTCAAGCAAAATTGATTGGGTTCAACCTTCTTCCTTCTCTTTGTCCTTTTTTTTTTTTTTTTTTTTTTTAAATTATCCCTTCTATTTTCTAAATAATGTGGAAAGGGTTATTTAGTAAACTTCAATACCCTTTACTGTAGGTGGTACCCAAATGCTAATAGGTAGAGAGGACTGGCAGCTTGACTTTTGTTAAAAATATAACTGGGGCTAGGAGTGAAGTTCAGGTTCAGAGTGCTTGCTGAGCATGGGTGAGGCCCTTGGGTTCAGTCCCCTGCCCTGCAAAAGCAAAGCAAACAGAAACATTGTATATTTCATAAACCTCTAATGTTAAATAGAATTTATTGAAAGAGACCTAACATATTTTAGGTTCCCTGTTAAGTATCTTGATAGTTATTTATAAATTGGGTAAGTAATTATCTTAGTGTGCTAACTTGAAAATGCAGGGGGAATTGGTTACTTTATTACTCATTTGATCATCTCATCAAATTAAATTGTTAGTGTGTGTTGTCTTTAACATGAAAAACTATGTTGTTGAAGAATATTTGTTGACCTGAAAAGACATTTATAACATACTGGTAATTGCAAACAGGAGGCTATAAAAGTGTCCTTTTTATGCAATATTTTTGTTAAATGCATAAAAACGAATTATAATAATCAAAACATTATTATCTAGTTTAGGATTAACATTTTTTCTTTTTTTGTTCTTCCTACTTTTTCCCCTTTTTATTACTTGTATAATTAGACACACACATAAAGATGTCATGGCAGGAAATGATTGACCTTTTGCTTGAAAATATTACCCACGTGTCAAGAACACGTTGAAAATAACCTGTGCTTATTTAAGCCAGGCAAGTGTATACTTGGCAAATGGAGATTTTACAAGAGTCACAATATTCGTTGAATCACAGCAGTCTAACTTCTGTTAGCCTTCACCTCTAGACTTTAGGTCTAGACCTTCATTTCGTTCTTCCTGGGCTTCCACATTACTGAGATTTAAAAAGATGCATCGTGGGCATTCACACAGCAAACAACTGTGGCAAAGGCATAGAAAATAACGGCGCTTTGAAAAAAGACCATAGGAGTGATGGCTATTCTGAGAGGAAGTAACAGAAATACAATGACCTAGTTTAGTAGTATTAAATGTGGGATCTTTCTTGAGAATTTTGTTTTGAGTTCTCCCAAACTCAAGCTCAGAAAGCCCTGGGGGTTGGGGGGACTGCTGCCCAGATTACTGCCTTGTGTCATTGGTTACAAGTTTGCTCATGTGCAAACAGGGGTGTAGGTTTGACGACAGTGGTAAACTGTCTTGACTCCTTCCATCAGCTGAATCCCCGGTAGGCGGTGACCTTGGCCAAGGCTAAACAGGCAGCATCTAGAATATTTCCGGTGGAGAAAACACCAGTGTCCACATTGGGAAACTTCTGGGAATAGATGAGAAATTCCCTTCTTTGCGCGCGCACACACCACTTGTATGGTAGTGCAGACGCGCTGCTGTCCTGGGAAATGACAACGAGAAATGATGTAGGGAGACCTTCAAGAATTTATGACTGGAGTGCGCGAGGAGCGAATTTGGGGCAGGTCGGTGAGAGGCACCGTCCCACCGGCAGCTTTGGGTCCCTTAGCAAAACTGCCAGACAGGTGGCGTCTGCGGGGCGGAGGGCAACCCGCTTCGCCCGTGCGTCGGTCCGAGAAGCCCCAGCACCCGGGGACAGCGGCGCGGCCCCGGTGGCGCAGTCCCGCCCGCGCCCGCGTCCT